CTGGATGCAGGAGGTGAGGAGGAGCAGCCTGATGGGTACAAGGCTGAGCCGATGAAACAGAAGGTCGGGACCTGTGGAGTCAGTGACACCAGCCTGAACAACCTCCTAGGACCTCGGATGGCAGCAGCCTTCAATCCTCAAGACCGGGTGAGCAACTTTTCCCCTGTGCCTGGCCTGTCCTGTCACTGTCCTCTGATGTGGACCTGTGCATCCACCAGGCTCCCTGTGCACTTGTGTGCTGCAGCCCAGGGTGGGCCCAGGCGTTCCCACACTGTGTGGGCCTGGCTCAGCCTGGCAGCTGGGGTGCTGACTCCTTAGTCTGCACTGGTACTGTCTCAACAATCCCTTCCAGCACCAAGCGGAGGCTTGGCACTGGCTCCAGACCCCAAGGAGGGCCTGGGCGCTAGGACAGGCTGTGGCTGAGAAAGCTGACTGGCTTCTTGTCACCATCCCTAGAACTGGCCACCATCCCGAGAGACCCGCTACGTGGAGGTGTACGTGGTCACAGACAGCACAGAGGTGGGCAGGCACAGAGGAGGGGCTGGGGTCAGAGGGTGTGCGGGGCACCAGCCTGAGGGCTTCATGTCTCGTGTCCCCAGTTCAAGCTCTTGGGGAGTAGAGAAGCTGTGCGCAGACGGGTGCTGGAGGTGGTGAACCACGTGGACAAGGTGGGGACTACATCCACCCTCTGGGGGTCTCCTCAAGGAGCTGCCAGGTTCTTCTCTGTATGGCTTCTAGGGCCCCTGGGCAGCCCTAGGCCAATGAAATCCCTGACTCAAGAAGGATGGGAGGCATCTAAAAAGGAGGGGGATGGTTGGCCACGGTGGGGTGGGAGGCCATAGGCATAGCAGCCAGCCGGGTGAGGCTAACTCAAGTTTTCATGTGCTCTGAACTCAGGACTCTGCCCAGTGCCCAGACCTTGAGCCTATGCCTGCTGGGCCTTCCACTGTCCTGGCCTGACCCATGGCATTCCCTGTCCTCTCCAGCTTTATCAGGAGCTCAATTTCCGCGTGGTCCTGGTGGGTCTGGAGATCTGGAGCAACCACGACAAGTTCCTTGTCAGCCCCTCCGCAGATGTCACCCTGGAGAACTTCCTGGCCTGGCGGGCCCAGGAGCTGAGGGGGCGGCATCAGCATGACAATGTGCAGCTCATCACGTGAGTGGATGGCTGGCCATACCCACGACAGCTGGGGCAGGGGTCTCTGTCCAGCCAGACCTCCAGGCTCCCAGGTGGAGCCGTGCAGTAATGAGGAGGGGCCCGGTCAGGAGGTGTGTCCTAGCCATCTGGGTTATTGTTTTTCTAGGGGAGTCGACTTCACTGGGACCACCGTGGGACTGGCTAAGGTGTCTGCCATGTGCTCCCACCACTCGGGTGCTGTGAACCAGGTGAAGGGAACTCCCTGCCGGGTTTGCCAGACCAAAGCTGGAGCCACTTGGCGGGTGGGCAGGCAGGCACAGAGCCTGAGCTGGACATGTGAGGGGAGACGTTCAGAACCCAGGCCCCCAGAGCACAGCTGAGTGGCCACCCTTTCTGGGGATGGGCTTGATGCCTGTTTTGGTTTGAGAAGAGAATAATGACAATCCCCTGGGTTGCTGGCAGTGAGGGCAGTGGGTACAGGTGCATGGCCATGCAGCAAGCCTAGTGAGCTCAGCCCCTCCCTGCAGGACCACAGCCAGAACCCCATCGGCGTGGCATCCACCATGGCCCACGAGATGGGTCACAACCTGGGCATGGACCATGACGAGAATGTCCAAGGGTGCTACTGCCCTGTGCCTCGAGATGGTGGCGGCTGCATCATGGCTGGCAGCATTGGGTGAGGGGTCCTGTGGGCCTACAGAGTGGGAGTGCCATGGGGATGTG